TTGCTTAGCTTCAAGCCTTGAGGAATAGGGTAGACTGCACGGAGCTATGTGCAGTGCAGTTTACACTATTCCGAAAGGCTTGAAGCAAATTAACGAGCATTGCGCCTATTTTTTATTTTTAATATAGCAGAAAAAAAAACTATATAAAAAACTACTCAGAAATAAATAGAAGAAAAAATAGTTGTGATTAACTTTACTAAAAAAAATGAGCATAGATGCGCTTATAGAGAGAATTCAACCTAAATTCATAATAAAATTCTACCAACTTCAGAGAAATTCAGTATGAATTTAGGTCAAATTCCCTGTATAAGGGCATCTATTTTCACTTTGAGAGGAGCTCAATAAGGCAGAGAGGGGGGGGCTTATAAACCGGTGTGAGCGCCCTTCGGTTGGCGAGGTGGGACTAAACTCTGACCGCAACGAGGACCAACCCTTTAGTCCCGGTTGGTGGCATGAACCGAGACTAAAGGGCAGCCTTTGGTCCCGGTTCAGGCGACCAACCGGGACCAATGGTGGTGGGCCAGGAGCGAGGCACATTGGTCCCGGTTCGTCCCACCAACCGGGACCAAAAGGTCCAGACGAACCGGGACCAATGGCTCACGTGGCCCGGCCGGCCCCCCGGGCTCACGAACCGGGTCCAATGCCCCCATGGGTCCCAATTTTGAATTGAACCGGGACTAATGGGCTGACCTGACCTGGACCATTGCCCCTTTTCTACTAGTGTGTTGAAAAGGAATCATGTGGGGGAGCACCAACAAAGTGCAAATTCTCCATATTTTGGTGCCCTTGTTCATGATGGTGTGTTGGCGGAGGTCGGAAATTATAAGGGTGCATTGGCGGGAACTGTCCAAAACTTAGCAAGGCTTCAGGTGCAGTGGTAGTGTGGTACACACTGGCCTCCTGTTACAAATATGAGAACTCATGAGCATAATACTGCTCCATTTGAATGAACTATATTACAAATCCTAAAAATGATAATCCAGAACTCTAGTCATCAGGTAAGAACAGTGCTTCTGCTATAGATTTTGGAAGACTACCATGTTGGGACTCAATCTAGTTAAGTGAATCTCACACCAAATTATTTTACCTAGTCTTTGCTAGTTAACTGAATCTAGTCTCTGCTAGTCTAGTACAAAATGCATCTGAAATATCAAGCAAGCAACGACCTGAACATAGGTACAGACTTGGGAATATCTGCTTGAACACGTACAACTGCTGAATCAAGAACTCCACAAGCAGAACGCAAAATAGTAATTGCCAAGCGATGCAAATGCGAGCTAAGAAACTGCAGTTGCTGCAGAGAACTGTACCATGTATTCAACAAGGGGTTGGCAGAGGAGGTCTCCATGACATGGGGGTACAAGTGCGGTGGCGTTGAGGGGTTGGCGGCGGAGCTCGGCGAGGCGCCGGGGTAGATGAGCGGCTGTGGCGAGGGGTTGGCATGCGAGCTTGCCGGGGCGCCGGGGAAGTGATGTGGTGGCGAGGTCGCCGACGACCGGGCTGGCGCTGCCTCCTTGTGGGCACCGGATTTAGCCATGATTCGGGTGGCTCCCCGGTTGGAGCCGCCGCCGCCCGGAGCTGCCGTTGGCCGACGAGACGGAGAGGGAGGCGAGGGTAGATGGAGGCGGCCGGGAGGGAGATGGATGGAGGCCCCGACCGCAAAGGAAAGGGACGAGCTCTTTTTTTAAGCGACGCAGCCACACTGGATCGATTTGGCATTAAAGACATCTCGTGCTGTGCGCTATGTTACGGTAACCAAATAGGTTACTATAAGACTAGCCACAGTGGGAGTAACTTCAGCAGTAAGGCTAGTCATAGTGGAAGTAACTTAGGTAGTAACATAGCGCATTTTAAGAAAATTTTGCTTACGTGGCAAGTAGTTAATGAGAGATAGTAACATAATATGTTACTGTAACATAGCGCTTCCCGAGACAAGATGAGTCTACAAGTTAATAAATGAAGCCATTCATGATACTATTATTATGTTACTTTACATTATGAATGTAGTAACTTAGACTAGTGTCATGCATATGACACTAGTCTAAGTTACTCCCCACTATGACCAGCCTAACATCGAGTCCAACTCAGCAAATTTGCTTATGTGGCAATGAGTTAATGAGGAGAAAGGTAGTTACAGTAACTTAGCTAGTTACTGTAACATCACATGTCCCAATGCAATATGAGTTTATAACCTAATAAATGAAGCTTTGCATGTTACTACATTTATATTACTACCCACTATGAAGGTAGTAACATAGTCTAGGGACATGTGTATGTTACTAGTGTATGTTATTATGCACTGTGGCTAGTCTAAGTTACTCTCTCTTCATTAATTCAATGCCACGTAAGCGAAATTGCTGATCTGGACTCTAAGTTACTACTCCCTCCGTCTAGGTGTGTAAGTCATCTTACGAAAACCAAATAATCCCAAAACACTTAGGCGCAATGTATTAACTTATACCTCGTTTCTTGCTTCTTGACATATCAACCAATAAGAAATGAGGGTGTGCATGCTTTTAATGACTTGAGATTATCAAACACGACATGCAATAGTTAGTTCATTGCATGCAATACTATTAATTAGCAAATAGACATTAATGTCTCTCATTTTCCCCTCCTCTTTGGTCACGGTGCACAACCTAAGATGGCTTACTCACCTAGACGGAGGGAGTACTTAAGTTACCCCCACTATGACCAGCCTCAGGGATGAAGTTTCATGTCCTAACCTGGTTTACTGTTGAGGAGTTGTATCCTCCGTGATTTGTTTTATTGAGTCTTACGCTGGCGCAGATGTGCAGTACACTTTTAATAATGAAAAAACAAATTTCGAATCAGACAGAAACTAACCATTACATGAGTGCATCAATCACATAATTAAAAAACAAAGAACACCAGCATCAATAGAACCTTACTTCCTAGTAAAAGAAAACATGAATGTATAACACTGTGAAAACTCCAAAGGGCTTACCTATTTATTATTTAGTGCTTCGAAAGTTGATTTGCAAAAGGCTACACTGGAAAGTTGCTAAAACTGCTACATTTCTTCATAAGCAGAAAAGGATAAACGAAAAAACAATCCTAACCGAGAACAAGTGACTAGGTTTCCAGCCACGGCAGTTTGTGTTTACTATTCAGACATCCAAATTTCCTTGGTAATTACTTTTCCAGTTCAGGGCCTAGGTAATTGCACAGTCCAAAGCAGCAAGTGACGACGTACTAAATTAGAGCGTTAGCTTGTAAGAAAGGGCTTGTTACATCATCTATTAATTGAGTGATGGACATCCAACTGCTAAACATCTTGCGGTGGAGAAAATGCTTCCTACGCCGTCTAGGGACAGACCTCTATTGCCGCATTAATTGAGTGACAGATGTGGGCCATGTGAACTGTTCAACTAAATCAATACAATGACTATAAAGGGATATACGGGAAGCTATACATAAGGGGGCTCGGATCCCAAAACACATAATCGGTTCAAATAGTAAGAGCACATGCTCGTATGAGCCGTATCGAATTTCCGTCAAAAAACGTCTTACATTATGGGACGGAGGGAGTAGAAGTTAGTCAGTCTTGCCAAGTTTGCTGTTGTAACTTTTTAATGGCAGGATGCAGTTCATGCGAGGAGGGAAGTATGCTCAACCCCAATATCGGATTTTGAGGCTAGTCCTACGTGCCAGGTGGAGTCAACAAGTGTTCGTGTCCTCGTGATTCTAACAAAGGCGGAAAGAAGGCGTATAGCAGCCCTCGAAAATGTGCTTGACCTCTTGATGAAGCGGAAAGAGCAATTAGATGCTCTCTTCATCGAAGCCAAACAAGAGCTGGAAGAAGCCATAAAGAAGCTACCAGAGACGGAGCAGGCAACCCGCAAAAATCTACTTGACGACGCGGTGAAGTGGAAAGAGCAATCAGATGTTCGGATCATCAAAGTCAAACAAGGGTTGGAAGAAACCATAAAGAAGCAAGCAGACGTGGAGCTTCTCACATTGGCTAGTGTGCATTCTCTTTCATCTGACTATTGATGCGGCGTAGGTCTGTTGTTACGAAGGAGTTACAGAAAACTGTCATGAAAGAAAATGCCACAGGAGTTACCTGAGTGCAAAATCTACGCGGTGTAGGAAAAATCGAGTGAATATATTACATTATGCAACGGTGGAGCAGCTGAGTGGACACCAACGGCGTAGGTCTGTTGTTTGATTGGAATCACTGTTGCTCAGAACTCCATTTGCTTGCACATTGGTTCGCATAGTGCGACAGAGGACAACGCTACCCAATGCAACTGGGAATACATTATAAACTCTTTTTCAACAAACCGGATGATATTCATGCAAACATAGACGGATTTCATACAAACCGGACAAAACCGATTACATTTTAGACACATTTTCAACTAAAAAAGGTAAAACTATGTGCATGTACGGTCACGTGGAGCTTCACTCCCAGGACACGGATACACTACGCTAGTATATGGCTGCCCGCGACGGATCCATTTGTCTTCCCCATCTCAGGCAGCCCGCTCAACCGGACTGCCGGGAGCCCCGCCCGGAGGTATATTCTTCCCCCGTATCTTAAGTGGCAAAAGAGGGTGCTTCCGTCGGAGAGAAGGGAAAGGGGGCTCCGCTTCCGTTGAGCCCAGGCGGGGTCAACGATGGTCTGAGATAAAGAAGAAACCGGACAAAAAGCGGGGGAAAAAATCTGCGTCTGTTTGCGTCGGCCCGTTGGAGTTGCCCTTCCTTCCTTCCTTCCTTCCCCGAGAAAGAAGGGCCGCCGCCTAGTGAGAAGGAAAGGCCACGTTCGTTCTGTTCTGTTCTGTTTGGGCCTCTGCTCCAGGCCCGTCCGCGTCCCTCTTCTTTCTTTCCGCTAACCGCTGCCGGCCGGTTTCCTCTCCTCGCTCTCCTGTCCTCGCCTCCTCCAGTTTCCCCCTCCCCATTTCCGAATTCCCCCCCGCTCCGCTCCGCTCCCACCCCTCCCCTCCCTCGGCGTGCGTGCGTGCGGGCGCGGCGCGATGGGGGGCAGCTCCAACACGACCACGACGACGAGCGGCGGCGGCGCCGCCGGGAAGGACAGGGACAGGGCCAGGGGCTCCGCGGTCTGCTTCACGGAGGGCGAGAAGGTGCTCGCCTACCACGGCCCGCTCCTCTACGAGGCCAAGGTTGCCCCCTTCCCTTCCCCTCCCCCTCTCTCCCCGCCTCCGCGCGGCTCCCATTCCGGTCTAGGGTTCGCGCGCCGCCGCGTCGGCTCCCGGGAGGTCTCGCTCCTCCGTTCCGTTTTTTTTCCGTCCGCGGCTAGGGTTTGGGGCGGGGCCGTCGGAGCAGGCGAGGGTTCAGGGAGTTGTAATCCGAGGCCGTGTACATCGCATCGGACGGCGCAGCACTCTTCTTCTTTTCTTCAGAGAAGGAAGGAACGCAGCGCCGTTCCTCCTCTGCGCCGCCCAGATCTTTTATATTTATTTATGCCATAATTTTCTATTTAGGACCATGATTAGCACCAGGTGGATTGATCTCTTGGACCATGGGTACTTCATGTAGTAAGTAACAAGGAGTGGGAGATGGGACTACATTTGTAAGTAAATGCACACGACACCTGAAGGCTATATGACATTTACCAGTTGCACACCTGCAATTCTTTCCTCAGTAATCCTGGTTCAATAATGGGAGAAACGAACGCAACCCAAGTAAACGGAGAACAAAACGGGTGCTCTTTATTTTCTTTCTCCAGTTGTAGTAGACCGCTTTCGTTTCTGCTAAAATGTACTGGTATCTCTTTCCCAACATTTCTCAAGTGCTGGCATGTGGAACTAAGCTGTAAATGTCCGGTTGGGAATTGCATGATATAAGCGTATGCGGTGTATGTTCCCTTGGTGTATATTTTTTTGCTGATGTTTTTTTTGATACATGCTGAATATGTTGCTGATGACAATTCTTTTTGAATCTTCTGAAGGTTCAAAAAACTGAAAATCGGGAGGACGAGTGGCGGTATTTTGTCCATTATCTTGTAAGTCCCCCTAATCGCCATTGTAAAACATGATAATTACCTCAAAAGCATTGTTTTGAAATTATTGGCCACACTTAGCATTAAGATATCGGAAGGTATAATCTCTGTATATGTGTCCGCTCTTCCTTGTAGCTCCTTTTTCCCGCTGTTATTAACTTTGTCTCTTCCCTTTTTGCAGGGATGGAATAAAAAGTAAGTGCATACCATAGTGGCTGTTAGATAAGTCTTCCATATTACTTGGAATTAGAAATGTATCATTATGTTGTTCCTGTTCTTTCTATTGATGCATATGTCAGTGATATTTGTAAGATATGTAGTTCTTTGGTTGCAATATACTTTATTCGATGTTCTTGTTGGTCAAGCAATTGACATCATCATCACATACAGTAGCCATTCTATCATTACAAAGTGAACTCTCTACAAAGGAAATGTTCTAAACTTAGTTAAACAACAGATGCACTATTGCTGCTCTTATTTCAGCTCAAGAAATAAAATTTCGCGCTGCGTCTTGGAAGTTGTTGAACTTCTTCAATTTTGTGTGTATGCCTATCTTTGGAATCATGGAATACTGTGCAACACCTAGTTTTCATGAGGTTACGAAATTATGCATGGCTTTTCACTTCTTAGCATTGACTAAACCAAATGCCTTTTCGTTTAGCCAGATATATTTGTATCAAATAATGTGTTTTTTTTATGTAACATCACATTATTTTAAAAGCCTTGACTTTGAGCTGCATGTTCTGCCTGTATTGTACATGGCCAATTTTGATCCCTTATAACATGGCCAGTTTTGATCCCTTATAACATAATAATTTATGTTCTAGTTTAATGAAGTTGACTGATATTGTATAATGCGCCAGTGCTAGTCTAGTGCATGATCATATGTTTGGTCCTTTGGTGTCTATGTCCTATTCTATTATACCCTTGATTTCGTTGTCTGTTGCCAACATACTCCTCGTAAACTTAACAGTAAGCAAACCCATTTCACAATAGAAGGCCATTTACTTGTGCACCATCATTTCGCGATGTACGTCAAAGAAGTCAAGACTGTAGTTGTTGCAATACTCGACTCTCTGTTCCCACTTTAATGCCATAAAGGAGGTTAAGTGGCTGTAGACTTGTAGTTTGTCAATTGATAGCATTATGTATGATCCAATGTCATTACTCATTACTAAGATCAGGCAGCTCTGTGATTTGTACACACAATGGACTTGTACTAATATTGCAAAACAAAGTGACAATATATTACAACAGTGATACTTTATTTGCTCATTATCACAGTCAAGGCCCTGGATTGTGTCCCATACGGATGTCTAATGGCTCCATTCTTGTTTTTGTTTTGTTTTTTATTACTCAATTTGTTTTTAGCTGTGCATTTCATTTCCTGAAGTTCGAAGATTGTGGTATTGAAGGCATCTTAGACAGGGTATTGATATGTCTCAGCAGCCTAAGTGGTTCCATGTTCTTTGTATGGCTGAGTTTTGAGTTGGTGGTGGATGGGATTTGGCAATATGAATAAAGCAGAAGGATGGAGGGATTGGTTCAGTAATTGTGCCAACCGAAATTCTGCTTTCATGCACTTGCCAGTTTTAAAGTGTATGGTTTGTCTTCTGTTTATATGGACTTCTGAATGAGCTAATACAACTGTTTGAGTGGCTTGGTGAATTTTGCGGAAGAGGGTTCATATGTTAGTTGCTACCTGCTATTAATATGAACAACTAAAAAGAGTTGACGTGCAGGCCATCTTTTGATGGTATTTCATCTTCAGATTTATGGTTGTGCACAGTTATATTCCATTAACTTTTTCATGAATCCCTGTTGAGTGCTTGCTTCTATCATTTTAATTATGTCAGCATCACTGCAGTTAATTAATTCTCCATCCCTGCTGTTCTAATCCTCCATGTACAGTTGTACACATTCTTTTCAACTTATTCAGTTTTCAATGGTTATAGTTGGGATGAATGGGTCGCAAGTGATCGTTTATTGAAGTTGACTGAAGAGAATGTTCGCAAACAACTAGAGCTGAAAAACCAGTCAGGGGACAAGACTGTCAGGACTGGTGGACGATCAGCACAGCATAACCCAAAAGGCTCTAATGGTTAGTGACATTTTGCAGTAATTGCAGCATCTTGCAATTCATTTCTATCCATGGGATGGCTATAACTGAACATTTTGATCATCTCATACTGATGTAGCTCAAATTCCATCCTGCATATCTTCTTTTTGAAGTAAATTGTTAAGTTGCAACCCATTATTGGAATGATTTTTTGATAGGTGCTGAAACAACTTTTGGTGATAGATAAGCATGTCACTAGTTATACCTGTCTGCACTAATGAAGTAATGAATATAGATTACAATGTTCTAAAAGGTGATTTGTTCTAGTAAGGGTGTCTCTTAGAGCCTTGGTAGGTTAGGTGGCCGCCTTTCAGAACTTTGATAGGGCATTAGAAAGTCGGCATATCTCGACCATATTTATACTTATGGTCTTTTGGTTGAAATTTCTCCCGATTGGCTCTCATATTTGCTTTCAGCAGATGCAAAAGGCGATAAAGAGGACACTAAGGGTCTTGGTAAGTTTACTCTTCTTTTTAACAGAATTCCTTATGTCATCTGTTTCTTTTATTCTATTGGTGCATTTATCTGTTTTCAGATTTTCCCCAGCTACTTACTCCCTCCGTTCCAAATTACTCGTCGTGGTTTTAGTTTAAATTGAACTAAAACCACGACGAGTAATTTGGAACGGAGGGAGTAGTTGTATAATACATACTTTAATATACTTGTTATGTTGAAATTCCAGTCAGGGGGAAGAAGCGCAAGAATCAGCTTGGCGTTGAGGTGGCTATGATTCCCAAACATGTACATTCTTAAGTATCTGATTTGATTTTCTATAAAGTTCATACTCTATGCATATTATCCATATACAGAACAATACTAATATTAAACATATCTCCTTTTGCACTTCTGCGCTCTTCCAAAATGCTAATACTTATTTATTGTTTAGTACTGTACTTTACTTTATTTTGTAATTTGCATAAGTCCAGTGATATCTTCAAATTTCCTTGACTGAGGATGACAATTCACACAAAAATTATGACTTCCGTGCAATACATGACACCATTCTCTTGCCGTCTTGTAGCAGTTTGACCTCCAAATTCATATTTTAGACAGCATATGCATAATGGCCTGCAACAGCAGCCAGCAGTTTTTTTTCTTTTGGCGAATGAGCCAGCAGCTTAATGTGTGAAAAATGATTGTTGAGAGATTTTGCATACTTGTTCAAGTTATTGCATTTGTATGGTCTATATCATAAAAATTGAAATCGCCACTAGTTGAGGCGACCTGGCGAGCATCAGTTACCTAGTTTCGATAGCTTGACATAGAACCATCATTTTTATCCAGTATGAAGTTATGGTCCAGCTTAATGAAATAGACTAATAACTTTGATGCTCAGATATCTTTGCCAAATTGGTAGACTGTAATAAATCAGTTTGCATAGTCCTTTATCAAGTTTCTTGTGATGTTGCTGTAACGTATTAATGACTCCACCTTGGTTGATTTAGGAAAAGGAAAGAAGGTCATCAGAGAGTCTCCTAATGTCACAGTTTCCCGTAACACTAAAGAAGCAACTTGTTGATGATTGGGAGTTTGTCACGCAGCTGGGTAAGGTATTTAATTCTTGACTGCACTATCTTTCATTCATTTATTTATATCTGAATTGCACTCATCTTCTTTCTTACATCACTAGTTGGTAGTTGCATAGTGTTTCAGCTGGTTGGGAAATAGCATGAACCAAGAAAAAGAAATAACAAGCGGCGAATGGAAGGACATGTATTAAATAGGAACAAACCTTAGAATAAAATAATGAATTAGCAGTCTTTGCCATTCGATAAGATGTGGCTCGGATCAGACAGCTACCAACATTTTACTAGAAAAGAAACCATTATTTAACTTCCAAACATGATCCAGTACTTGAGATTTGAGTTTCTGTTCAAACATATATTTTTTTACTTCTTATGGGGCTGATATTCGTTGATGGGAAAGAGGAGATTGAAGAAGTTGTCTCAGGGAGATTGAAAAGGGTAGCACAAATAGCTCATGCTCCCCCTCTTGTGCCAAGAGCAAAATGGCTCTGAGCTGCGCTTTGTTTGGGGGATGCAATTTTTCTTGATTGATGAAAAGATCACACAGGATGTCCTTCTACTCAATCATCATATCATTTTCTAGTTTACTTAATCGTATCCGGAAAGGATACCTAATTCTACCCTAAGGCGGTGGCAGGTGGACTACATGGTCAGTATCGGGAAACTGACTGAGGGGAAGCGAGATGAGCCGGGAGGAGATTTGGCCTGTGAGGCTGGATGAATTAAATAGGCATTTTCAAATTAAGAATATCTGAGAGATAATAATAAAGCAAGAAAAATACCAAATGAACTCCAGGAAATCCACAAAGAATCAGTGAGGCATATTATAATATGCTGAAACCAAATAAAGTACATACAACTTATGTTATAATTTAATAATACTGAACACAAATTACTATGAAATTCCCATTTGAGCTTTAATTAATTTGAGAAAATCTGCAGAAATTTTCTAGTCCTAGTTTTTGATAAAATATATTCAAAACCCCCAAACTCATCATGTTACGAGTTACTGGCTTTCTTTGATTCCCACGCTCAAAATGTGCATCCGTAAAGAAGTATCATTTCCACCCGCTTTACAAAACAGCTTGTCCTCAAGCTAGAAATTTGGATAATCCTGCACCGCCATCCATAAAAGTCTCCATTAAGTGCCTGTTTGGTTCCACTCCACTCCTTTGACTCCGCTCCTGGAGTGGAGCAGGCTGTAGCTCGTTTTCACAGAGCGGCTCAAGCCCAGCTCCGCTCCGCGGAGTGGAGCGGGGCGGAGTGATTCCAAACAGGGCTTAAGTCAATTGCCACCGCGCTAGACTTGGACTTTACAATGCTATTTGTTAGAAAATCATGCTGAGAATCCTGCATTTTCAGCATGGTATCATTTTCATCAGTTTTTTTGTCATCACAGAGAGAACCACATCTTTGTTCTTGCAGACTTGTGGGCTGAAAATCATTGCTTGGCTCGATTATTTCTGGGAAATTCTCTGCTATAATTTGATGACATCATCTGAGCATTTTCCTTGTCCTGCAGCTTGTAAAACTACCTCGATCGCCCACTGTTGATGATATTCTAACGAAGTATTTGGAGTATCGGGTAAAGAAGGATAACAAGTCAGTAATCTATGTTATGATATCTTGTTTATTAGCCTCTTTTTCTGGTCACATTTGTAGTTTACTAGAATTGTGAACTTCCCATTTTTTTCCTATTATGCAACGGCTTGACTGCATAATGCTGAAGCATCGTAGTGCCATTTTAGTTACTGTCAGAGAAAACAGCTCCATGCAAAATTCAGATAAAAGTTAACAGCTAGCAGGTGTACAAGATACACAGACTGCTTTTTGTTTGTTTGTGTGGAAAAAAATCGATTTTTCTTAGGTCGAGATTGAATTCAAGCTTTCCCTGATTTCAGATGGCTTCTTCCAGCAATATAGCAAAAAACGTTTGGTCTGATTAGTTCTGAAGGAACTTAATAGCTTGCATATGTAAGGCACAAAGACCTGTTTTTATTTTTTTCTGTGAGAAAAATGACGTCTTATGTTGAGATTGAGCTCAAGCCTTCCATAACTTCAGGTGGCTTCTTCCAGCAATATTACCAAAAACAATTCTTTTTTTATTTGTAGCGGGGTCTGTAATTTTCTTAAATGAATTACTATTTCTTAACTACTGTACGCTTGTTGGGCTTGTCATGGGCTTGGGATGATTTGTTGCAGCCAGGATACTAACAATTTGTATCAGGCTTGCTGAAACTCATCCCATCTGCACAGATTTGGCTTATAGTTTAGCTGATGTGCCTTGCGCCCCCTGCTAGTGATCGTTATTACCATGCAGCAGATAATTTATGTGCCAATTCTTTTAGGCGTACTAATATGACAGAAAGAAAAAAAAACATCAATTGGCCTTCTAACCTTCCTGGATCAAATCTGCTAATTCGCCATCAGCGTGGTGAAGTTCCCAACAACTTAAGCTAATGAAGAACTGTTTATTTGGTTGGCTGTCTAAATGTTGCAAATTCTCTTGTGCAATAGTGTTCTAATTGTGACCCAGAGCTACTTGTGTCATTTGTCAAGCATTGTTTTCTCCATTAAAGGTTACCACCTTTTGTTTTGAAGGATAAGTGACTCTTGTGCTGAGGTAACGAAAGGATTACGCTGTTACTTTGATAAAGCATTGCCTGCCATGCTTTTATACAAGAAAGAGCAAAAGCAGTATAAGGAGGAAATTAAAGGTGACGTTTCACCCTCGACTGTATATGGAGCTGAGCATCTACTACGCCTGTTTGGTATGTCCAAATTTTCCACTCCAGGAGCTGTCTTATGTCTTTGATTTATCCTTTCATATAGTTCCCCTGTGGCTCAGTTGGAAGTGCTCGTGAGAGCTTTGGAAAATGGCGTTAGGTGTTATCTTATTACTTTATTTGACTTTCCTTGATCCACTGTCAGTCAGTTGTAGCAGTATCTACCATCCTTGTTATTGTTGTTTGAACTGATAAGATGCTTACTCATGGAGGCATTATAATTTTAGTCTTCCTATAAAGCTCGGTGCACAATTTCTTGTCTTCTAAAGGGACTCTACCCCAGTTTGGTTCTCTTTCTGCAAGTCACCCAAAACCCAATGAAATAAAAAAAAGCTGGCATGTTTACTTGGAAGCAAACCATGTTTCTTGCCTTGCAAAGGGGCTGAAAACAGCGGCCATGCACCACTAGCTTTCTACTATGGGGAGACTTGTTTGCCAAGTACATTATATGTTTGCTGAACTGATCTGGGATAGTTGTCGGTACCTCAGAAAGCACATTGCTTGTGCTTTGATTAGTTTAGTAGGATTGTTTACTTGATTATGTCAATATCATTTTTCTGACTGTCACCTTGCCATGACATTGTTACCATGGCGTCTGAACGGCTTTACTTTACCACTTTACAGTGAAACTACCAGAGCTACTTTCTTCTGTGAACATGGAAGAAGATGCACTCAACAAGCTGCAGCAGAAATTACTGGACATTCTCAAGTAAGCAACTCTCGATTAAATTGTCAGCGTGTGCTTGATTCTTGGTTGAGGCCAAACTGGTCCGCTAAACGTATCGACCAAATGTCAGGTTTCTGCAGAAGAACCAGGTTCATTTCTTCCTTTCTGCGTACGACGGTGATTCCAAAGGCGCTGATGGGGCAAAAGGCAAATAGAAGCAAACGTTGGTGTCTGTATGTCGGATGCGCCATCCACTGCTGGATTTGTACTGCGTAGCTCACACCTCATAGTCTGGTTGTTGCTTGGATGTGGATATTTTGTGGGATGTGTGACCCGTGACCGCCGATCGCCGCTCTGCTTGCTAACAAGTTCATGTAGCTGACCTGTCCAACGTCAGTGTTGGCCTGCGTACAAAATCCTTGCATTTGTGTGGTGCCCCTGAGACTGTCCTACATCACTTCACTAGTGTACATTTGCAGAATCTCTCTGTTTTCTTGCCAACTCTGAATAATTTCCTTCTTTGGACAACACCAAATTGCGAGTGCCCCCTCCATTCCCATGTGCGGATCGTATTAAGGGCAAGGTCTGGCCCAAGAACTACTTATGTGGTTTCTGTGGCATGATTGATATCGCTAGATCTGTTTTAAAGCGCTCACTGATGATTGTTTTAATGAAACGTAATACATGATACAAACGAGAATGGAGGCATATGAATTTGAGTTCCTCTTTCAAACTGACTATAGTTATTTTTCTGGACTTTTTTGTTTCTGTGGTGCCTGCTTTTGGAATTGGCAAGTAGCTATATTTCAGAATTTGTTTTCTGAATGATTTAAGCTTATAAAACCGGGCAACTTCTGTGTGAAGAGCCCAAGTATAGGGAGCTAACGTGTTTCTTCTTTCACTTGCTGTTAGTACTTGCTTAACTCTGAGATGTGTGTTTTGGTGTGGGTGCCTGCACTTGCACTTGTTCCTGATAATACCCGAACCCCTCTGGGCGAACGATGTAACTAAATCGTAGGCGAAAAGACCGTCAGCTGGAAGAAAAAATAAATAAGGTGATGCAACCCGTTTTGCCAACAGCGGCAATCCGGCCCATCTGTATCAATCAAGTGTATTCAATGTTTATTCCATAGTACGTGAAGCTTGATCACAGCTTAGGTTGAATGAGTGGCGTGGAGTAGTGCAAAATAAGCACGTCCAACTCCTAACATATTTGTATTGTCAACGGCTTCGCATGGTACTCTCATTTTGTACTATCCGCGTGTTAGGTTTGTCCTGGAAGTCTTCAAACCAAGTTTATTTTATAGAAAAAGATACCTACATCCACAACACTAAATCGGTACCATCGCATCCATCACGGAATGTCTTTTCATATTGTATTTAATTGATATTGTAGACGTTGATAGTTTTTAATATATATTTAGCCAAACTTTACTAAGTTTGACTTAAGGCAAACCTAATACGCAAAGTAAAAAGGAACGCAGGGAATATGTACTGTGCGGCTAGGCTTAAACGACCACACGGGGAAGGAACCAAGGAGCTGCGAGGGGTGGAGCAGCGGCTGTCGGCCTCCTCTTTGTCTATCCCCGTCGGCTTTGCGTCGTCGTCCGTTGGTATGGCAGAGTAGAAGCACTGCACGAGGCCCCCCACAACGATGGGGACGGACTGCAGCGCGAGCCCCATGCCGGTGATGCCTTGGTGGGTGCTCCTGGACGGCGGGTGCTCTCTCCGATCACATACGTGGGATGTTTACGGTCTGATCTGATTTGGCAATGTTTGATCAGATTAAAGTGGAGAGTGAGGCCCATCACTCCTAAA